TTAGATCCTGACATACAATCCACACACAAGGAAACTCAAGAACAAGATTACTACCAAAGAACAGGAAAAAGTAACACAAAAGAGTCTTTAGTTCAAGAATTATCATTTTGTTCCAAAGATTCTAAATGTGACATGTTAGATTACTTGTAATACCATTTATGTTTGATCTCACAAAATCTAAGTAAGACTTTTGAAATTCAACTAAGCCAAACAAAATGTCAAGGACCAAGAGCTTATAACCAAGATTAAACCTTCTGGGTAAAACAGTTTTGTTTTTCTTAGTTGAAAAGAAAAAAAAACAATTCTAAATTATTACAGGTCCAACTATGCCTATTTTAAATGCTGTATACACTCAAAAAAGATTTTTAAAAATTTTATATAAATATTCATGTGCTCTTTATGGTCAAATTGAAAGGCAACTAATAATTCAAAAAGAAAACTTCTTTTAAAACAGCATTTCTAAGCATTTATATTCATGCTCTTCAGATTTTAATGTACAAATCTCCTGGGAATGCTGTTGAAATGCAGAATCTGACTCAACAGGTGTGGGGAGTGCAGAAGATGCTATTATTTCTAATACCTCCCTGTTGATGGGGATGCTGATGGCCCTTGAACCACCTTTAAGTAACAAAGAATACATAATCACCCCGGAAATGTTGATTTCTGCCTTTACCCTGCCCCTTAGGACATGGGGTCAGGAATTTTCAATTAGTTGCCCAGTGAGTATGCACTTTAAGGGACTTAAAAGAGAATAATCCAGAAAGTAGGCCTGTTTTCTTTAATAACTAGAGAAGCCACAGCATTGTATAAGTGAGTTAAAACCCAAGAAAGTCAGGTTCCATCCAAATAGGGGCAACTAGCCCATTCAGTACCCTGGCGAAATTATACCTTTAAGGGGAACTAACATTTGCAGGCAGCAATTTCCATGTCAGGCAAAGTGCAGCATGCTTTCCACACATCATTTCTTTTATTCCTTCAACTTCGCAGAGGTGGCACCTGAAGATACAGCCTCTGCTCAAGAACAGAATTTGAATTTAAAACCCACCTGCATGTCTCTATCTGCTTCATACTGCTCTTTTATGCTCTACCTCTAGTCATCTTACTCTCCCCTCCAGTGGTAGATAGGATCACTCTTCACAACTAGTCTTGCTAACAGAATTACTCATTCTGTCAGTCGTCATGGGGAAGTGTATGTCCCCACTTACTTGACTTTGAGCTTGGCCCCATGACACACTTTGACTACTGGAAATGTGAGCAGATATGACACTGACTACCCCCTAGCAGAGATTTTAACTGTGTTGCAGCTTTTGGATTGTGCCCCTGCTCTCCGCCAAAAGAACAGCATGTCCTAGATAGGAACTGTTCTTCTAGCATTACTTTTAGTAATAAAAGAAAATTGGAAACAACCTGTGTCTATTAAAGATAATAATAGTAAAGACACATGATATGAAAAAACCCATAATGTAGAGTGGGAAAAAAATATGACTGGGATTACAGCTGTGGGAAGCTGCCACACACACAGGCACAGGAGAAGACTGAAAGGAAATATGCCAAAATACAGTCAAGATTTTGTTGGACCTACGGTTAGTTTCTGTCCTCTTCTCTATTTTCCTATTGGTGTCATATGGCTTTGATTAAAGTACAAATTAAGCTTCAACTTTCAAATTTCAAGGCAAGACTTTTAAGAACAAGCATCAGACAGTGTAAACCATGAGCATGCCTTCAAAAAGTGAAAATGTCACACCTCGGAGTTTTTCTTTTTCTGTGCAATAAAACCTAAGGGTCACCAGTTACTAGCAGCGTAACCTGGTGTAAGTTCACTACTCTGAGCCTGTTTCCTCATCCATAAAAGGATTTAGTAATATCTACTTCCTGGGTTATTTAGCACAAAAAATATGTCCTATATATAAATCACCTGGCTCATGTATGCATTCCGTAAAAGTACCTTTCTTTCAGTACAGGTAATATCACAGAAAACTGATGTATTATATCTGTTACAGAAATGAATTTATCAATGAAGCATTAACCAAAGATAATATTCGAGGCAATTTAAGCCCCTCCACAGTCCATGCATTTAACTACAAGGAGATCCTACAGCATACACCATGGTTAAGGACCCTTGTGATTATACTGGGCCCACCCAGATAATCCAGGGTAATCTCTCTACTTTAAAGTCAGATGAGTAGCAACCTTAATCCATCTGCAACTCTGCCTTTTCCCATTTAACATGTTCAAAGGTTCCAGGAATTAGGACATGGACGTTTTTGGAGGGCCATGATTCTACCTAGCACACTGTGGTACTTCATGTAAAATAACCTAATATTCAATAAACTGGCTGATATCAGAGATTCTCCCAACAAAGTACAATGTGAACCTCCTTTTTCTGATCTTATGCTCTGATGTCCCATGTGGCTGATGAATGTTCAGTCTCTTAAATAGGAAGTGTTTTTAAATGAATGACTGCTTGCCTTCGTTTACTCAGTACCAACTGAGGACATAAGTGTGAGTGCCAAGTCTCACAGAAGACTCAGCCACAGCTCCTGCCCCTCGAAGCACTCACCAACGGAGGTGTAGGGAAAGGGACAGACACAAGGAAGTAAAATCCCAATAATGTGGAAACTGGGGCTGCTAGACGGACTTCCATAGTTCTGTGGGGCTGCAACGGAGGCTGCTGGGGTAGGCTTCACTAAGGACAGCATTTGGGCTACATGTTTATGGGAGGAAAGAGAAGCAAGGAGCTGAAGGCCTGGAGATTCCACATGTCATGTCAAGTCGTGACAAAAAACCCCCACTGGCTGATGAGCACACATGGAGACAAACATGGAAGCAGCGCAGGTCAGTGACTATGGGTTACTCCTGAATTCCACTGCGTAAGAGCACCCTTTAAAAATGAGAGGAAGCTGGCCTAGAACCTGCGAACTAAGGGATCATAGAAGCCAAAGGAAGAAAAAGTGCCCAAAGCAATGACCGTATACATAACAATGGTTAAGATGGCAAATTCAGTGTTATGCATGTTTTACCACAATGAAGTAACTGAAGAAAAAGATAAGGAATGAATGGAAGTTGAAAAGCAGTGACTCTGCTCACTCACCAATTTTTTTTTTCAGTGATGAAGTATTGAAAAAGAGCAGTATGTGGGATGATGTAAAAATTAAAAAAAAAATAAACCTACAAGCTTGGGCCCCTTTCTAGGCCAAGAACCAGCAGAAAGGGAAAGAAAAATAATATAGGACACAGACAGGATAACTGCTGGACTAAACTAAACCCCAGAGGAGGCAAAGGGGGTCAGAATCTAGAGCACATGTTGGGGGAAGCTTTGGGTGAGAGGTGAGAACCCTCTTCTCTGGAGTGGGGAGAGGGACCATGACCAGGAAGAGAGTGGGCACAGTGAAGCAGAAGAGAAATAAGAAGTCAGGGGAACAGGGAGACAGGAAATGGAGAATCCCAATTTTGAAAGCAAAAGGTACCTCTTTTCTTTCTTCTGGTCCTTGACCAAAATTATAGAAGTTATTGTACATTTCTTTAAAACATTTCAGGGTTTTAAAGAAAAAACAGTTACTGGTCTTGTAAGAATAGAAATAGGTTAGCATAAGCATAGCCATCTTAAAGGCCTAGAAGCCATTTTCTGAGTATGTGACTTAGAAAGAAAAACTGGAACTGGGTAAGGCCTTGAAAAACAAGTTAATCATGAGCACCGGGTGGTGGGCAGCTGTGACCCTTGGTCAGCTAACCTTGGTCAGTAAATCTTACATACCAAGCTTATCGTGCAGAACCTCCCTAACCATTGAGGAGTAGTCTTACCCTGCCCTTGCTTAACCCCAGGATATATGTCTTGCAAGAATGTATAGTTATAGAAAATTGCTATGAGTTAAGTGCTTTGAAATTGCTATATAAACTCTTGGCTCTGAGTGCTCGGGGTCCTTGTTGAGACCCGCTGCATCGGGCTGACTTGGACTCCAACTAGTTGGCTGAATAAAGACTTTGCTTGAATTTACATCTCTATGCCTGTGTAGTTTGTTCTCTGGGGAAGCCTCGGAAGCCTGCACCCTAACAGTCTCAGTTGTGGTTTTGCCTTGAAGCAGTTCAGTTACCTTAGGTTATCAGTAAACTTCCTAAACTGCATCTTTAAAAAACGGATTTGCTAAAATAATCCCACTATCATGTACAGCTCTACTTGTCAATGGCTTTAAGGAGAGCTTATACCTTGAAGTAGTGTCAACTTACCCACCACCCCACCCCGCCCTACCCCCACCAAAAAAAAAAAAGTAAAGTGGGGAACAAAGCCAAAGTGTATATAATTTAAATACCCTTGGGCTGTTTTCACGTCTCACTTGGGATAGTTGACAGCCACAACAAACAGATGGTTACTGCTGACAAGGGCTGTGTCATTACAATCCTCATGTTGCTTTTACAGCTCCTTGCTGTGTATAAAGAACCTTCACACATGACACATTTAGGTAATCCTCCCAATAGCCCTATGAAATAGGTAAGGCTACTGTTACTATCCTACCCACTTTCTGGTTGAGGAAATCGAGGCTTATAGAGGTTGATGATGAGCCGAAGGCCCCAAAGCAGATGAGCAACAAACCTGGGACTTGAATCCAGGTACTTAGGACTCAAAAGCCCTATTTTTAAAACTGTTTCTAGACCCTGTCACACTCCCATTTGGTGTCATAAGCAGATAATTGAGCAGTCAAAAGAAATTTGCATCATTTTTCCTTTAATTGATCCCAGCAATATAGTTTATTGAAATGCAAGTACAACCTGAATTTCTAAGTGATGAATGATTGGAATCCAAACAGCCGAGATGGAAAGGATTAGGGGTCAACTATTTCAATGTCCTCATTCTCAGGATGAGAAAACAGAGGCCTCTTCTGGGACACATGGCTCGTGGGACACAGAGCCAACACTCAGGGCTCCCACCAGCCCTGGGGCTCTCAGCACTGGCCAGGTCTTATGCAACTTCTGAGAAAAGTTAACAATAGAATTGCTCCTTAACAATGAAATGGTTCAAATTTAAATAATTTGAGGGGCTCATTCTCTTCTTTTTACTTGTGCAAACCATATGGATGCTGCCTATTAATAATACTACAAGTCTCTGGAGCAAATTCTCATAAATGGGAGGGTTTGTGATGACAGTCATGCCTCCCTTTAGTACAAAAGAGAGTAAATGTATCCAGTAAGGAATCTATCCAAGAGAGTTTTAAACCAAGTGAAATTGCCTCCACTACCATCTACCTACAGAGTGTTTCCTAGGCAAAATGGAACAAATGAAAAAATGGAAAGAAAATATTTTAAGAGGACCACATTATGTAAATATTCCCATTTTCCTCCTTTGGAAATATTGTAATGAGTCTGCAAGTGCTTGCCACCAAAATTACCTTATCATGAAGCTGAAAAATATTTAATGTTTAAACAGAAGACTCCACGAGGAGAATAGATGAGGACATGAAAATGACATGTTTTATGAAATTGCAGATCCCATCTCACATGTCTTGTGCAGGAAAAAAGAGGTATGAGGCTTCCATGAGACTATGAGGGACTCAAGGACAAGAACGTCAAAGGAAGGGAGCCCTTCTGAGGTGAGCAGATAATTTTGATATTCTTCCCGCTGGACAGTTGGGAACTTTGGGCTCATAATGACGAGACTTGCCATGAGAAGCAAGGTCCACTGAGGAAACGAAACCAGCTTTCTCGGGAACATGCAAAGGCTAATGTGACAAATGCGAAATACTCCCATTTGTTCAGTTCTGGAACACAGAAAGGGAGGGTGAGATATTAGGCTGAAGGTTTCTAAATGGCAGTGAAGTCTCCAGTTCCAGTGTTTCAGGGATGAAGTTTCTACTAAAGTAGGACTGATGCCTCAAATACATTAATCATGTTTCTCCTTAAGACAGTTTCAAGAATTTGAAATTAAGGGGACAGGAGGCAAAGCTCAAACCTCCAAAGGGGCAACACTTAATCTCCCATAGTTTTCAGGGCTAAGAGGACAAAGATCCTCTAGCTTCCATCAAAATCCCAGAAGAGCCATGCCTGAGAGCACAACCACCATAGCTGGATTGAGTCTTCCTAAAACTGCAACCTAACATGGACTTGGCTCAATTCTCAGTGGAGTAAAGATACTCAGCTCCTCACTACCAGAGAGGAAAAGGGAGAAAATCCTCTCTGAAGGGAGGTATCGTCTAAAACTTGTTCAGATTCTTTCACATATAATGTCTGCTATAAAATAAAAAATTATCAGATAGGAGAAAAGCTGAAAAAATATAATCAATATTCAAGAGAAAATAAAGACAACATATGCAGTCTCACAGATGGATCCAGATTGTTAGATTCAGTAGACAAGATGTTTAAAAGAACTGATTAACTGGTTAAAGAAATAAGATAAAAAAAGGAGGAAATGGATGAAAAGACAGAGAATTTCAAAAGACAACTAGAATCTGTATAAAACAATCAAATGGGCATCCCAGAAAAATATCTGAAATTAAGAAAAACACAGTATCTAAAATTAACTCATTGATGGGTTCAACAGCAGACTAGACATAGCAAAAGACAGGATTAACAAACCTGAAGATAAAGGTTCATGGAAAACACCCATATTTCAACCTGAATAGAAAAAGGAGGTGGAGAAAGGAATAGACCTTAAGAAGTAAGAAACACCCTGACCACATAACTGGAGAACCAAAAAGAGGTAACAGACAGAACAGGACAAAAGCAGTATTTGAAGAAGGGACAGCTGAGAATTTTCCAATACTGATAAAAGGTATCAAGGTTTAAATTCAAGGTCAACAGACCAAAGCAGGATGAATAAATATAAGGAAAAGCACATCTAGACTTGTGAATGACAAATGCTTAGTAAAAAACAACATGGCAAGCACTGAGGAGGTCATGTAGCAGCCCACAAACCTAGTCCCATGTAACTTACCCTTGCTACTCTTGAAGAGGTTGTGATAAGGACGACAGGGCTAGGTGGGCAACCCTAACTCAACAATGAAGTTTACATTCCTTAGAGGGGCTGCAGTCACTTGATTCTTGACAAAGTACTGGAAAACTCCACAATAACATAAATTTGAATATACCTTGGTGGGTGATTTCCTCCTCACTTGGCCACTGACCTCATTTCATTAACCTTATAATAATGTAACTCCATGTTTTATACAATCAGAATTTTCAAATTCCAATAATAGTTACAGTAGAATTTACTGAAACCAAGGGAAAACACAACCATGGTATTAAGGCTGATAGAGTTGTCAGAGTAAGATGGGACTGCAGAGATAAACAGTCCAACCCTCATGTTAGAGATTACAAAACTGAAGCCCAAAGCAGCAAGAATGAAGTGCCCAGCACCTACAGCAATTTAGAAGCCAAGCAGGAACCAGAACAGCAGCCTCCTGACTTCCAGTCCAGCCTTGATTCCAGCACCAGGTCAGTCCAAGATCAAATCCAATGCAAGGTCAAAGCTCTTGGGAAATGTTTTGATTTTTATGACTATACACATTCACTGATAGTAATGGAAAATGACCACTAGTGATGCAAAATACAACACACTGCTGCTCATTCACTCTGATCATGGTACATCACTGGGAAGAGCTCCCCTCCCCACACACACACACACTCTCTCTCTCTCTCTTTCTCTGACTACACCTGATGTGTCAAAGTGGTAGAGAAAGGTGTGCCAGGGGACTATCACTTAAGCCCAAGACAGTCATTTCTGTGAATTTTGAGGCCTTCCTCCACAACACAGCTGAGAAACATGCATTGGTCCAATATCTGCTGTTTTGTTTTTGTTTGCATTGTCAAAACACAGACACGACCGTCCTGCTCACAGAGCTGGACTACTGGCCAGGCAAAGCAGCCTCTGTAGCTCCTAGTACTTACAAAGCAAGAAAAATTATTTCAAATATTTTTCCAGTGTGGGGATTAGTATTCAAAGGATAGGTGAGTGACTGATGACCATCAAGTCCATGTCAAATGTGGTATGTTTTCAAATCTCCATTTAAAAGCTGACAGTGCACCCATTAACACCATGTAGTGTGGCAACAGTGGTTCCTTCTAAAACTACCACCCTGAATTCATTACTTATTTCACTATCACAACCTTCCCGAAGTAAAATGCTCCTTAACTAGTAATCCACAACACAACGCAAGTCACTATCCTACACGGCTGTATTTCAATAAACATCAACTCTACGCTTATTCATGATTCATACAGCTGTTGCTAAAGTTTTAACCTTGCACAGGAGGATGTGTGCATGCTCTCTCTCTCCACACAGTACAGTCCACATAGACTCTGTACTTACACATCAGTAAATAGTTTAGGAAAGAGAATTCACATTATGTCACATGTTGACAATATAGTACGTAAAAGATTTTACACTACTATCTATGATATAAAACTAGCTTTTTAGAGAAACAAAGCATGAGGATCTATAAATGTATCCTCTCATTGTATCCTCTTTCAATCTGTTAAAATTCCTTGATTTGATAAATGATTAATAGATAAAAGGATTGATTTTCTAACTCAAAACTGTTGTTCTCCTCTAAAAATATTGAACTATAGCCACTTGTATTTGTGGTCATTTTAAATAAACAGCAAATGCAATTGAGATTCAATAAGAAACTGACCTATAAGTAGGGTACAGTAGGATATGAACAAAATCGTTTGTTCTCTGAAAAAAAAATGGAAAAGCCTGCCATAAAAAAAATTCAATAAGACATTTTTTAACCTAAGGGAAAGTTCTATTTTCACCCATAATAGTAGCACATCTGTTATTTTGACAGACACACTCAGGTTGGAAATTTTTCATACTTCTGTGTCAGTGGCCAATGTAGAAGTGATACAAGGCAAGAAGAAAAATCTGTGAGAAGTCATCACGAGGTCAAATGAGGTCTTAAGACCTTTAAAGTACCTCCTATTCTTTTATGCTTTTTGGTTACTTCACTGTTCACCTGTATCTCTAGATTATTAGAAATGGGCTTGAATAAGGTAAATTTGTATCTGCTTTCTGTAACTACCTTTAACAGCTCTATTAAAACATACAGATGTATATTAAACCCAAGTTCTGGAAAACCTCAAACTTATCCATGGTTACCATACTATGTCTGGAAAATAGAGATCAGTTCAGATATGTTTTACTAAGTATATTTACTGACACGCACTTTATGTATATTTCAACTAAACTCCTACAGGTATATTGTAACTATACTTCCTCCTGTTGTACTCAAGTCCTTAAAAAAGATCCTTTACTAGTTAGTAAATAAAAACCATTGAAATTCAAGTTTCCACTCTGCATAGTTTGTAACAGTTGAAAAAGCACACAAACATTAAGACTGGGAAACTAGTACTGTTTCACAGTGGGAGGTCATCAATTTTCGTAATTGGTGAGGGAACACAGGTGAATACCCCAATCAATCAGATCTCTTTTCATTTCCTGACATCCTCTTGTCCCAAAAATGTCTTTTAAATCAGATGCTAGAGACAAGTCAGTGGCAAATACTCAACAGTGCTCCACAATGAGAAGGTCCCCAATGCCCAAACGTATCACGGCAGATTCCAGAATGAAGAGGAAAGAGATGTTTCTCCTTTTTCCAGTACTGAAGAGCAACTTCCCCATCTACAGCACTAATGGTACTTCATCAAGGCCAAAAGGACACTGGGGCTGTCTTAAATATGCTTTGGATTAAAGAATAAGGACAGAGGACTTGAGTGGAGGCCCAACAGAGGATGCTAAGGGCCATCTTAGAGGCCATAAGATGTAATTATTCAGGGTCAAAACTGTCCTCCCTGCTTGTGACCTAAGTGAAATTAACCCTCTGGACCAATTCTTGTCTAATTTCATACCCCCACTCCTAGGTAAGTGCAGTAGATTAATTGTAAAAACATGATTGCAATTATTCTCTTCTTTCTGTGTTCCTTGCAACATAACTGCAACTCTTCCCTTTAAGAGATGGCATCTATATTCTCACGTCCTGGATCAGGGCTGGCTTTATGATTTATTTTGGCTAACAGAATTCAGAGAGAAAGCAACCTTGTGCCAGTTGCAAGCCTAGGTCTCAAGAGGCCCTGCATGCCTCCACACTCCTTTAGAACCTGGTCACCTAAAGTGTGGACAAGCCCAGGCTAGTCTGGATAAAGATTAGAAACCATGTAGAAAGGAGCTGAGGCCATCCTGGAAGATCAACCCTGCAACGCACTGAGCAGAAAACCTGCCCAGAGTCTGAGAACTACCCAGCTGAGTCCTGCCCAGATTGCCAACCCACAAAATCAAGAGCGCTGGTTGTTTTAAACCACTAACTAACCAAATGACATTGTGGTGGTTTATTAAGCAGCAAAAGGTAGCTGATACGATAACGAATAGATTACTCATGAATTATTCATTCAGTGAACACTTATTAAATGCCTTCCTATTTGAAGTAGTGCTGTGCTGAGCAGTACTAGGGATTCAAAGATTAATATATGGTACTGCCTGCAATTATGGGGTCATCTGCTCTAACTACATGAAAAAAGTATGTTAGTAGAATAAAAAAGTCTACTCAGAAGATAGGAAGGCTCATTCAAAGAACAGGTTGCATTTGAGCTGGTTCTTAAAGAGAAAATAACAAGTCACCTGTGTATAGGAATGGCATCAGAAGTAGAAGAAACAGTTATGTGCACAGATGCAGGAAAGAACTCAAAGAATGTTGTAGGAATGAAAAACGGAAAATAGTTTAGGACAGATGGAGTGTGGGGAGGAAACGGCAGATGACAGAGCAGGAAAAGCAGGTTGAAGGCAAATAATAAAGGGTGTCATACTGCAAATCATGCTAAGGGATCCAAATGCCTCTTGTAAGCCAGAGAGCTACAAATCATTTTTAAGCAGGAAATGGCATAATTCAATCTGTGTTTTAGGAAAAGAAAGCTGATGACAAGTAGAGGATTAGAGGCAAGAGTAAGAATCAGGGAGATCATCTGGGAGACTATTAAAATCCTAAAGGGGACCTGAATCATGAAAATTGGGATGAGACTATGCTTTGGAAAGATGTTTTTAAGACAATAGAAGATCCAGCAGCCTTGACAACCAACCAAATATGGGCTGTAAGAGTGATATAAATTGTGTGGGAGGATCAGGGACAGTGCCAAGATTTCTACTTTTGGATTCTAGATTAATGGCAAATACATGAATTAAGGCAGAGAAGCAGAAAAGCACACCAGAGAGAACACATGTTTTCATAAAGGCACCTGCGGACTATCCAGTGGGAAATGGATACAGATCTAGACCTTATGTTAAAGGACAGGTGGTATGAGCAGGAGATAAAGCTCTGGGGAATCTTTAAAACACAGGGCAGAGGGAGAGAGGGTAGCTCAAGACATGAAAGTGAATGTGAACAGAGGCCATTAGGAAAAGATGTCGATGGAGAAGAGAATAAGCTAATGAATGGTTAAATCCTGAGGGACTCGGGTATTTCAGAGGTAAAGGAGAGAAGCAGCACCAAACAGCAGCAATCCTCCTTGGGGATGGAAGAGGGGAGGGAAAGGATCATTTAGTGAGCATGGATTACAAATTGAATAACAGCATCTCCGTCTATGTATCTTATTGAAAAACACATTTTTTCAAACCCTTCTCTGGCACCTAATGCAGCAAAGAACATTACCCACCTTTCATTCTTAGGGCACTTATGTGAAATACATTTACAGTTAATTTGCTGTATCTAACAGACTAGACTGCCTTTATACATTTTCAATAACTAAAAAGGGAAGTTTTAAAAAATAACCTCAAAGTAGATAAAGATTTCATAAACAGAATACAAAAAGCAATAGCCAAAGAAGAAAAAAAATTGCTAATTGGTTTTCATTAAAAATCATCAAAAGATACTATGAAGCCAGTGAAAAGGCAAGCCACACAATGGGAGAAAATAATTGTAATACATGTATCTGACAAAGGACTCATACGCAGAACATAAAAAGAACTGACAAAGAAAAAAAAATCCAATCCAAAATGGGGCAAAAGATTTTAACAGGCATTTCACAAAAAATTTCCAAATGCCAGTAAGTATATGAAATGGAATTTCACAACATTACTCACCAGGAAGCACAAATTAAAACCACAAAGACCACCTCACAACCATTAGGATGGCTACTATGAAGGGGAGAGGAGAGGAAGTGAGGGAAAAAAAGAAAGGAACAGGCAAAGAAAGGAAGAAATTAAAAGAGGAAAAGGAAAAAGAGAAATGGAAAGAAAGAAAAGAGAAAAGGAAAGGCAAGGAAAAGAAGGAAAGAAAGGAAGAAAAAGAAAGGGAATATAACAAGTGCTGGCAAGTATGTGGAAGAACTGGAACCCTTGTACACTGCTCGGAATGTAAAAATGGTGTAGTAGCTATGGAAACAGCATGGCAATTCCTCAAAAAACTAAAATATAATTACTATATAATCCAGTAATTTCACTTCAGGGTTTGTGACCTAAAAAAATCTGAAAGCAGGATCTTGAAGAAACACTCACACGCCCATGTTCACAGAAGCATGATTCACAACAGGCAAAAGGTGGCAGCAACACAACTGTCCACCGACAAATGGATAAACAAAAGGCACTGTATGCACATGGTGGACTATTATCAGCCTTAAAAAGGAAGGAAATTCTGACACATACTAGAACATGGATAAATCCTAAGTACATTACACTGACACAAGCCAGTTACAAAAGGACAAATGTGATTCTGCTCATACGAGGTATTTAAAGTAGTCAAATTAATAGAGACAGAAAAAAGAATGGTGGTTGCCAGGGGCTGAGAGAAAAGAGAATAGGATTTCCGGTTTAATGGGTACTGTTTCAGTTTTGCAAGATGAAAAAAGTTCTAGAGACAGATGGTGGTGATGGTTAAATAACAATCTGAATGTACTTAACACAATAACTATACACTTAAAAAATGGTTACGATGGTAAGTTTTATGTTATGTTTATTTTACCACAATTAAAAATGAAAAACCCATAAGGAGATACCACTATGCCCTCACCAACATATTTAAAATTTAAAAGACCAACAAAACCAAGCGTTAGTGAAAATGTAGAACTGGAACTCTGCATACTACTGAGGGTATTTTAACTGATTACAACCACTTTGGAAAACTGGCAATACCTAAATACTGAACCTAAATATAAGCCCCATTCTATGACTCTAGCGCTCCATTCCTACATATGTGCTCAAGAGAAATCAGTGGGTATGTGCACTGAAAATCATAAGCAAGAATGTTCATAATTGTTTTATTCACATTACCCACACACTAGAACCAATTCAAACATCCAAGGAGGATGCGTAAACAAATTGTGGTATGTCCATACAATGGAACTACAGCTAAACAATAGACTAGAACTACTGACAGGCACAATAACATAGATGAATCTCACAGACATTATGTTATGGGAAAGAAGACACACAAGAGCCCCTTCTGTAAGATACTATTTATATGCAGCTTAATAGTATATAAAACTAGAGGATGAAGTTTTAAAAAAATCACAATGGGGAAACAAACAATGATGTTATCTTTGGGTTAGAAGTGGGATGAAAACTCACCAGCAGGGGAAAGAGGAGGAAATCTTCTGAGGCGCTGGAAATGTTCTATAGCTTGACCTTGGGTGGTGGTCACGTGAGTGTATACATATATAAAAATTCATTGACTAGTACACTTTCATGTGTTTTACACACTTTATTGCATATATGTTATACCTCAAAAATAAAGTACCTCTGAAGTACCTAATGTCTGTATAATGAGAATGCTGTAATTAAAAAAGGAATGAAATCTCAACTTCGCTCTTTTCCTTTCTAACTTAAAAGATAAGACCCTATTCCTCTTAAAACATCAGGGGATGATTAGCTACTTCCCAGGTTTCTGAGTCAGACCATGAATCTTGAGTCCTGTGCAGTACAAACTTATGTTACCAAATACTGAGAACTTTCTGGAAGCCACTCCACATCCATAGGGTCTTTATAGGAAGAACATTTCAGCAATTAGCTTAGTCTATACTTTGAGTCAGAACTCCCAATTTGCTTTCCACTGGTAAGTGTCCATTTTTATCTTAAGCTTTGAGAATGGCATCTGACTTACACCCTCACTGGAAGGGGCTAAACAAATCCCTCCTCAGCTGTAAAGGCAGAACGTCAAAAAACACCAGATAGTACCACATTCCGGCATTGTAATGAACATACACCCCCTAAGGAAAGAGAAATCTTCCTTCTTTTTAACAGCCATTTTGATGCTTGACCCTTACACAGCCAATTTTATTTTAGCTTTCCTGCGAGAGCACCATTAGCCATGGCCCACCATTCTGGAAAAAGGAAACAAAAAAATCCTCAAAGGTGAACTTCTCCCCCTGACTTGTCTACCATTCATAACAGCTACTCAGTTGTTGAAAATCGGCCATAATATGCAAAATTTTACATTTCAGTGATAATCAAAGGCAAACTCTTTTGAATTGTGTCACAATTAAAGATTTTAAGACTTGACTGTCTTTGATCCCACATTAAACCTGTCCTTATTTCAGTCAAGTTGGTGAATTCTGAAGATACCTCTTAGACGCTGAGCTTGGAAAAGCAGCAAGGTAGGAGGAGAAAAATGAGATGGTTAAAAACAGAAAGGCTGGTTTAAAAGCAGCTACCTAATGCGTCAGTAGTATTCTGATAAGTGAGATGTCAGCGATGAGATGCAGTTCTTATAAAAAGCAGGTACTGTTATATTGGCTCCACAGGGTGACTTGTTAACAGCATCCCAAATAAAATTAATCAGAACAATTGGCAGTTTTACAGTTTCAGGAAAAGTGTTTTTAAAAGCAATTATCAAGCAATAACTGGTTAAATTCAAAGCCACATGGTCACAATGAAAAAACAATGATTCTCTTTCAGAACAGTAAAAAGTAATACAACATAATGAAATGTACTATTTTTATTTAAATACATTATCTGAAACAGAATAAACTTGTTTTCTCTTTTAGAATACCTCAAAATATATTTCACTTTATAAAAGTCTATATAAATGTCAAGATACAGGAATGCAATAATTATAAAGCTGGAGAGATGGATTATTTTACATACCTGTGTTTTTTCAGATTCCTGTGCTTGCTTACTCGTGTATATTCGCTTTTATTTTTCAGAAACCACTTCTGGAAGCTCCTGTTTTGGCTTCTACACTGCCACCTGTAGACATAAAAAAGAACAAACCATGTATTATTCACCAAAAATGCATCTTTTCTAGGCATCTAACAAGGACAATTGGGGGGGAAAATGGCAAAGTATTTGCTCCAAGAGATAAAATTCTTTCTCCTCTGTGTGAATTTCTAAAAAGAGTCCCTCACCCACAGTAGTTTGATAAATTATTTCAAAGGAGAACATTCATAAAGTCTCAGATCAACACCACTCCGATCAGTTCATTAAAGAGATGGGGGTCATGGAACTGATCCACGTGCCAACCTACAACCATTTCAAGACCTGTCCTCTAAACTTAGAAGACAACTTGACTACTTTGCAAATTGGGTAATTAAGGATTCTGCAAATTCCCACAAAGAGAGAGGGAAAGAGTCACACAAAGGTTACTTTGTCACATGACTATAAAATGTCTATTTAAAACAATATTATTCTAACATGAACTAAAGCTTTGTCCAATCTAAACAGCAATTAGGTGGGGTATTTTCATCAGAATGCCCTATTCCTGATTTAAGTGTGAATGAGGAGTGCTGAAAGGTCTTTCTGATATCCCACAGATTTTAATACGGGTAAATTTTTTTTTCTTCTTAAAAAAAAAAAGATAAATAAAAATCCATGAGCCGCTATCAGTGAGTCAAAGCAGCCATCATAGGATGTATGTAGGGTGTGTGTGTGTGTGTGTGTGTGTGTGTGGCTGGCTGTTGTGTGGTGGGTGTGTGAGAGGAACAGAGAGACAGGCAAACCACACCAGGGTGTGTGGTTGTGGTAGTGGTGGTGGTGGTGGTAAGTGATGGTGTGTGTGTGTGTTTAAAGGAGGGGCAGACAGACACAGATTTAGGAGTTAACATAGACTAACAGAACAAGGGTGTATACGTGTGTAAGAGAAATAGACAGGCAGACTACACCAGGCTGTGTGGTGCATGTGTGAGAGAGAGAAGAGGGACAGACAGACACTGAGACTCTGTAGTTAATTTGGAGAAGACTTAACCAGGGTGGGATGGGTGGATGTGGGTGTGTGATTGAGAGAGAGAGAGGAGAGACTGAGAGAGTGACAAAAAGACACTGAGATTCTGGAGTTAATTTAGAATAACAGACCGAATCAGGGTGGTTTGTGTGTGAGAGAGAGATACTGAGAGAGGGACAGAAACTGAGATTCTGGAGTTTTCTTATGGACCGAATCAGGGTGTGTGGGGGGGTGGGGGGGCAGGACGGGGTGTGAGAGACAGAAAGGACAGATGGACAGACACAGATTCTGGAAGTAATTTAGAAAAAACTGAACCAGTGTAGTGTGTGTGTGAGAGAGAGAGAGAGACAGACAGGCAGGCAAGCAGACAGAAAGAGAGAGAGAGAGACTGAGAGAGGAACAGACACTGAGATTCTGGAGTTGATTTAGAATAGACAGAACCAGGATGGGGTGGGTATATGTGGTGTGGGTTTTGGTGTGAGATTATTCAAACCAGGGTGTGCGATGTGTTTTGTGTGTGTGTGTGTGTGAGAGAGAGAGAGAGAGAGAGAGAGAGAGGAAGTCCTGAGAGAGACATAGAGACGGACATCGGAATTCTAGAGTTAATTGATAATAAGAGACTGTGCTGCACAGCTTTTTACCTCCTCCTGTCTACCCAGGACAAGTGCCCCGGCTCCAGCACCTTAAGCCAAAACCCCAAGCACCTCCCCCCACCCCCACGGGGAAATAGCGCCAGAGGCCACCCGGCCAGCGCGCCAACCTGCCAAGCCCGCTACCCCGCAAACCCCGGGGCCTTTCCATCCCCAGAGATTCGTCCCCACTTACCCGTAATTCACTTTAACGCCCCCGAAAGCCTGGTTTGGTTTAAGGAATTGCAGCAAATCCAAGGACATCAAGTCTCCCTGAGCCACTCTCCTCCTTCTCCTCCTTAGGTCGGACATTCACACACTCACAGTCGCCCTTCCTTCCCAACCCCGACCACGCGCAGGGCCATCTCAAGAGGTTCTTGGGGGCCCGCCAGCGACCAGTCCTGCTCCCACGCGCCTCCATGAACCCCTCGTCCAAAAGTACCCAAGGCGCCAAGTGCATGTGCACAGTCAGCCTTCGCAGATAAGTTCAGCAAAGCCCACTCACTTGCCCCCACCACCACCACTCTGGCCCTGAAAGCGCGAAGGAGCGTGCGGGCTCAGCCCCGGCCCCGGCAGACAATACTCCACCAACTCCTGCCTTTCCCGCACACGCCCGGCGGGTCCTCTCCCGCCTCCCGAGGTCTCTACGGTCCCGCGGGCCCAGAGCGGGGGGAGTCCTGATGGTTGCTGGGTGTGGATTGTGCAGAAAGGGTAGAGCAGAACACACCAGCGAGACTGCAGGCAAGGGGAGGGGGCCGCAGTCCTCCAAAGCCGTTCCGACTTAACTCCCCAAATCGGGTGGAGGTGCGGACCCAGCGACCCGAAGGAGCGCATCCCGAGGGAGGCAGCTTTTCCGCACCTCTTCCCCACCTAGCACAGCGCGCGCACACGCGTGCACACCAAGGGGCCGTGCACCTTCCTCCTGCCCCCCGGACCTGCCCAGCCCTCATCCCCGAGCTCAGCGGCCTGGAAGGGAGGGCATCCGACCCGCAGCGGCCCCGGAGGGAGCAGAGCGCCGCTCTCGGGGGTGCCCACCTGCAAGCTGGGTCGCCGAGGCAGCCCGGGCACACGCCGGCTGCGCCGTCTCCGCTGCAGGAGACGCTGTGGGCGGCCTGACTCCCGGACCCCAAACGGCTCCTCGCTCCCGGGCAGCGGCTGTCCTCTCTTCCCTTCCTTCCAGCGGAGGAGCCTCCCACCTATCCCGCAGGTTCTGCCACCGCCGCTCACCAGCCAGAGCCTAAGCCGTCCTCCCCGCCCCTTTCCCGCCGCCTAGTGCACCGCTGCGCCGCGCTCCGCCCCCCGCCCGCCCCTCTTTGCCCGGCCCAGTTGGGGGCTGCGGGCCCCGCGCCTCCCGCCACAGATCCCAGTCCCGGGGGGGAGGCGGGTGAACGGGTTTCTCCAGACCCCGCGCCCCTAAACCTGCTACCCTCTCGCCCGACCAGGATGGCCGTCCGCACTGACCCCGCGAACGGAGGTGTTGGCACCGCGCGCTGTGCCCTCGCTCTTCCGGCGTCCCTTCACTCCCGCAAGCCGCCTTCCAAAGCCTAGAGGGTGCCTCGTGTCTTGACGGGAAGGGGGCTGGTGAAGCAGGGTGGAGGGAACACGAGAGAGGAGGCGAAGAAATTAGCATGTCAACTGCCAGGGGATACAAGTTACTGCCTGCACCTTGTTTCTGTTACACTAAATACCTGAATGTGCTTTCCTTGTTAACAACCGCAGCAATACTCGGAGGCAGGACTGTAAAATTTCCAAGCTAATTGGTTGTAGGGGCTCTTAAAAAATTGAATGATGCAGGAGACAACAGATTCACTCTTTTTAAAAAGTTACTTTATATATATANTTTATATAGTTGTTAATAAGTTATATGTGTGTGTGTGTGTATATATATATATATATATACACATATATATGTATGTATGTATGTATGGCCACATTTCTAATTTTAAAAAATAGTAAAATACAAATAACGGAACAGCTGTGTTTTACAGAAACAGATCCAGTGTGTATGTTATTTAAATCTTCTGTAATTATATTAATTGGGTTCGTTTAAAAGTGTATTTTAGGTATTTCTTGAGAAAACCGGCTCAGAATTTAGGGATTAGGAGCCATAAGTTTTTAATTTGGCTTTTTGCCATAATTCTAAAATGTCAATTTCATGGAAATTACTAAATGTGGTTGTGTAGAAAAATGGGCCCTTTTTCTTCCATGTTGGCAACATTTTTAGATTTGGCAAAGGACAGATTTTTTTTAAAGCTCAGAAATAATAAAATTGTCATTCGTTTTTCTAGTGATGGAGTATCTGGTCTAGCAGTTTTTTCTTCAGTGTTGTTCTCTTTGAGGCAAACTTCCTTTCTGTTTTCTCTTACATTTGTTTTCTTCAAAACTCTCTCCCTAAATATAAATAAAGCCTATAGATGCCGTGATTTTGGAGCCTTTGTTTTCTTTAAAGAACAGAAAAATTAACTATAACTGATGATCAAAATCAACCCCAAGCTCATGATGCTAAATTTCACAAATTAACCCCGTTTTTTCAACTCTGCTTTTAGTAATTCAACCTAACACTCCAGAACCAAGAGTTTTTTAAGTTTCATCCTTATTAGAATGAAATGTACACTTTTAAATTAACGTTTGTAATCAAAATTAAAGTCATTGAATTGACTAATGAAAAGTATATTCAAAGTGTATTTGTTGCTGGGTAAATGAGGACAACGTGGATGATAAACAGCATTCTGAACAAGAGGCTCTGAAGCAAAGAAAACAGTCTTTAGAAAAATCGATGATCCGTTTTCAAGGCAAGGATAACAACTACCGGTAATTATGAAAGAATGACTGCTGCCTCTCTTCTCTCTGCTTTGGTTTTGTGGCTGGGCCTGCCTTTATCTCTTTTGATCATCATAATAAAAGTAAAGTAATTCAGCATTCTGGTGACATTGCTTAGTAAATTAGCAATTTGAAAATGCTTTTATTACCTAATTAATCCAAGTAAATGCATCCGGTAAATCTTATTTTACTCTTACATTTTTTGTGTGTGTGCCTCTGGAGAAACACTTGCATGAAATAAAAATAGCTAAGGCAAGCTCAAGACCATTTGCCAGCCAGACTCTTGGTTGTATGTATGTTGCAATAGAGTTAATATGAAGTGACCTTTGGATCTTAAATTGTGTATCAGATATTGGTTATGAATTGCTCATTGGCGGCATCTTTAATGATTCTTGTGTGTTTACTTTGCCTTGCTTATGCCTCAGAAGCATATTTTATTTCTTTTTGTCTGCCTTTTTGAACCTGCCTTTGCCTAAACTATTTTTGTTGTACTTCCACCAAAGCATCAGACCCTAAACCATAGTTCACTTGACAATAATCTCTGCCCTTCAAGTTAAATCTCCCTTGAGATCTTTGGTAAGAATCCAGCATGATTAAACATCTAAAATTGGAAAGAGTACCTCATTACGCATGGTTCTAACTAAGAGATAACAATCAGATTTCTCAAAACCAGGAGGGTCTATCCATTTGAATAAAAAGAAGAAACAAAACCAGCAAATCTGTTTTGTTCAGGTCCAAACTAAGTCAAGAAAATCACAATTGAAAACTCTTCTAAGCCTGAATCATGCTAAGAAATATATAAAAAGCACAATCCTAATAACTTTATCTGTATTTTCTTTCACCACTGCAAATCTCTTGCTCCACTAACTAAATACCATTATATTTCACATTTTCCTATTAGTTTCTGTGCTATTGAAAATTTTTCACTGATCTTTAAACAAGAAAGTGCAACTGGACATTCCTGCTGTCTCCAAGAAATTCAGTGTCACCCTCCATTTGTTTCCAAAACATTTTTTTTTAATTATCTGTGACACTGATAAGGACAGATCTGACTGTACCTCATACAGCCGTGGAAAAGGAGTTCCCATGACTGGTCCAAATTCAAAGCAATGAGGTCAAAACAAAATGAATTTGGTGTACAGCTTAGTCATATTGGCATCGCCCATTCTGATCGTCATTCCAGCACAGAGTTTTGTAATGCATGAGCTTGTCCCTCTTGAGGAATGTTCTCCTGATAAGTATTTTAATATTTTTTTGTTCGTCTACTCTTTGGGCTGTGTACAACTCACAGTGAGTCTGAATATAATGCATAGTCTTCTCTCTTTTCTTTCCTATGATAACTGAGACTTTGCTATGGAAATATGTCCCCAGTTATCTCACTGGACAATGGCAGTGGGGACAGTATCACCCATATAATGCTCAGATTGAAATGTTGATGCTCTAAGCTAAATTACTTAGAAATGTAAAAAAATGTGTGTATGTGCATTTGTGGGTGTATGTGTGTATAATTCAAAGCTAAATATAAACCTGAATACTTGTAATAGGTCCTTCAGTTACAAAAGCCTTGGTAATCAATCTCTTATGTTTTGGGGGTATGTGGTAAGCTAATGAATACCTCAATATTTACCTTATAGAAAAGTACCTTTTTCTGATCTAGATATTCCCATAAATTTCGCAGCACCAAATATTTAACCATATCATTCTGTGGTAAAAGGAAGAAAGGAAGGAAGGGAGGAAGGGAAGGAGGAGGGAAGGAAAGAAAGGGTAAAGCCAAGGATGAATATAGGTATGACTGGTTACCACAACAGATGAGCACATCAGGTGAGTCAGATCATAGCTTTCTCCCCTGTGGATGATTTAGTTTTGGTCTGTTTCATGGCTGCCGATCAAAGCCTTATTTGGACATAGACAAACATTGTTGGTCATGAGATGTGGGTGTCCTAAAAAAGAGACGTTGAAGTCCTAACCCATGGTGCCTGTGAATCTGACTTTATTTGAAAATAGGGTCTTTACAGATAGAATTAAGATATAAGTTAAGATGAAGTCATACTGGAGTAGGGTGGGCCCTTAATCCAATATGACTGGAGTTTTTGCTGGAAGGGAAGAGACAGGGGCCCAGAAGGAAGTGGGCCATGTGAAGGTGGAGGCAGAGATTGGAGTTAGGCTACTCAAGCCATGGAACACCTGGGACTGACAGAAGCTGAAAAAGGCAAGAAAGGATCCTCCCCTAAAAGCAATGCGAGCACCCTGATTTTGTATTTTCAGCCTCCACAACTGTAAAACAATAAATTTCTGTTGTTTCAGCCAATCCAGTTTGTGGCACTTTGCCACTGCAATGCTAGGAAACCAGTACACCAGGGAATCATCAATTATCAGTTGCCAGCGCATTATCTTCCATAGCTAATGCAGACTAAATGTTCAGGTGTTGAATGTTTAAGAATGATAGGCAGAGTCATCTCTGCACATGAAGGACAACAGCAGAGTAGAATCATCACTGAATTGGAAGGAATCTTGAGAATTTACTTTATCTAATGGCTCCTCCAAGATGGGACTTGGCTACAGCTGAGAAGCATAGTCACAGAATCTTAACATGTTCAAAGAATCTTAGAGATTCTTTTCATCTTTTGAGATGACTTAATACCTAGGTGGTGTGACTTTAAAAGGTGCAGTATGGGGTCTTCTGCACACATTTCCCCCTCTAGCAGCCAACACGCCTCCCTGATTCAATTCCACCTCCAGATGTTGGATTACAATAGCTTCTTCCCTTTGTCTTAAAATTTTTAGTCTTCAGTATCCCAAATTAAAATGAAAAGGAGCCTGGAAGAACTTCCCAGCCTCAACTCATGACAGTTCTCAACTTATAAGCTTATCAGTTTACTGTTACAGCCCCCATTGCTGAATAGGAGCTGAGCTCATAGTACCCTCCATAAATATTTGCCAAGTTGCACTGAGAAGTAGCAATTAGCAGGAACTAGATGAAGGATGGGTAGTGTAAGTAGAGGAGAGGTGGAGAAGAGAAGAAAAGGAAAGCCCAAGGTAAACTTCATCTCAGAGCTCTATGTAGAAGTCCTAGACCTGCCCTTGGTGGTGACATGGGACTGTAACATAGGAGTGAAAGGTCATCTGGGAGCTTTATTCTCTTCCCCTCCCAGTCCAGTAGCATTTGTGGCACTAAAGGGTGGTGAGGAGGTGGAGCAGAGGGCTTTCAACCTCTCTAAAAACCTCTACCAACTCTCACCCTCTGCAGCTATCTCCCTAAAATATCTAAGCTGAATAAAAATAATGTATTTGCCATGTAAGTGCAACTTCAAGGAAGCCCCAGTGAGACTCCCTATAGCTGCCGCCACCTCCCAATTCCCATGTATTTCTTAAATACAGCCCCTGTGTATTTCCTT